AAAGAAGTACCGCCTTCCGGAAACCTGCCAAGACACGGGTCGCCAGCACAAGCGTTGTGGGCCTCCACCACATTCTTGGCACCATAGCAAGCCTCTTCCAGTCTCGTGCACGGTTGTCAGACCGCATGACCGCTGCAAGTGCACGGACATGACCGCTAGCAGTAGGTTCGCTGGAAATGGATGGAGGACCATCTCGAAAAACGGTGGTTTGGAGATTTTGGATTGCACAACTCTGCGATGTGGCTTGTCCCAGGTCAATCATATCAACAAATCTCACATCCATTTTGGGGGCCACCGTCACTCGGGACCATTGACACTTCGAGCAGCCGTTCTTTCTAGCCTACATGCAACCAGCTACCAGTCAGGGCCCATCCACTGCTCAAGCCAAGAAACGTTTGGTTGCAAAGCCTTCAACTGTGAGACAAACCAATAGTTTCCTTGCTAGGTTCCTTCAGCGAAAGCACTCCAGCTTGGGGAGAGGTGACCTCAAACCACTGCTCCCGCACACCAAAGTTGGAGCAACTAACGATGGTAAACCGGTTAAGACGGCTCAAATCCCAAGTGCTGTGCGGCTGTGCTTCACTTATTTTGTTGTTCTGCCAAAATCGATCAGACCCAACGAATCAACCATCAAACCCGATCCCTATGGGACCAATTGTTGCCTCCCATTTCGCCTACCCTCCACTCAGAGAGCGCCTACCCTCCACTCAGCTCAGCGCCTCAGGCCCTGGGATGCGCACGAACTCGGGGACCACCAAGCCAACCCAGGCCAGCATAGCAATCCGTCCATGCTTCAGCTCCGCCTCCCAACGCGGAGAACCGCGGCGAAGGAAGGAAAAACAACCAGAGTGAGACACCCAGGGTGTGTCCGGGGGGGCCACTGGGACCGGTCTACGGGACGAAGAAGCGATGAAGAGACGCCCCGCCACGAAGTGGGGGAAAGCCCCCACTGAAAAGGCGGAGATGTCCCACCAAACCTGGTTGTCTGAAGAAGTTGCTGAACTTGGAGTTGGTGGGGGAAGATGGCTCAGGTCTTAGCTGGGAAAAGGCTTCATGTGGCTTGCTGGCTTGCCTCGCTCCGAAAATCGCGTTAGCTACAAGTATTCAGCCAAACATACCAATGGTGCGGGATAGCCTTAGATCCACACACAGTAACACTCAAGTCTGGCTCACAGAGGGCAACAAATCATGCACTTCTGCTCTCCAACCAGTTGTTGATCAGCAAACATCTGCAGACCTCCCTCCAAGGTGATCCCCAACGAGAGGTGTTGAATCATGTTGAAACATGTTGAATCGTTTTGCAGACCTCCCAACAAGGCGATGTTGAAATCATGGTTGAAACCTGTTGAATCGTTTTGAATCTATTCACCTCGAGTAGACTACACGCTCAAAGCTCACTCGAAAACTCTCCCAAGGCGGCCCTTTTTTCCGCCCGCTCCGTTCGACGTTCGGCGTTCCCCTCTCTTCGCGTCTCTCCCACCGTCATCGGCTGGATCTTCGCGTCGGCCAGCAGGCCTTGAAGCCGCTCAGCGGCCAAGCTCAACGGCTGCAAATGGGACTTGCCACCTGAGACACAGCGCGAGAGCTGCAAGGACAAGAGGAGCAAATCGATCTGGGCAGCCTGGGCCTCTTGGGCGATCTCCGCCAAGAGAGGCACACCACCCACATAGTCATCAAGAGGGTTTTCTCCTTCGGCTTCATCAGTGTCCTTTGGCTTGGAGTCCTCGCTCTCTTTCCTGCGTGCTTTGGCCAGCCGACCCACTAAGGCCAAGCGGCGCTTCCGGCTTTCTTCATGCAGGCGCAGGCCTTTCTTCTGGTGATCCACGTCTAACTGCTTCTCCTCCTCCTGCAGCTTCTGGCAGATCGCCCGCGCCCGACGCAGGCTCACCAGAAGCTGAGAGATCCCTTCATCCAGCGCAGCCATCGAGGTGCCACTTGCACCCAGCATCCGCACGTCCCGCAAGTTCGCGGAGAGGTCCAAGGACAAGACGCGCCCTGCGGCCAGCAAGCGTTGCTCGTCGCGCTTCGCCTGAAGCTGAACCTCTGCGTGGCACGCCGCCTCGGCTGCGGCCCGCTCTTCCTCCGCGATTTCCTCCTTCAACGCCGCGCGCAGCTCCTGAAATCGACGTTCGGATCCTTCGGATCCAATGGGACACCTGGAGGCGCGTTTCAAGCGTTCAGACCATTCGCGCAACTTCTGCATGTGTTCTGCAGGAGGTTCTGCCTCATCTTCCGCCTCCTCTTTAATGCCAAGCTTGTTGCCGAAGCAGGGCGCCTGAGCTTTGGACCAGACTTGCAATGGGGCCTTCGACTCGGCGGCCGGCAGAGGCGCCACCGGCAAAGGCGCCACTGGCAGAGGCACCGGAGGAGGGACGACTGCCAACGGCGGAAGCGGCAGCAGAGGGACCGGAGGCAGTGCCACTGGGCCTCGGGTGCCTCCGGTCGCGAGTGTCGCTGAGAGCCACGGATGGGGAAGATTCAGCAGCACAAACGGCGGGCATGACTTGGCTCCCGCCATGACACATTGGCCCAGGTCCAGCTGGAAAAAATTGGACACTTTGGAAATGTGAAAGACTTCTTGAAAGTGTGTGTGTGTGTGTGTCTTTGTTGAGCTGAATTTGCGGTGCAGAACTTAACTGCACCACTACAATGGCTGTAATTGCATGCGTGCTTGGTGCCCCACTACAGGTTCAAAAGGTATCGTGGTGGACAGCTCACTATGGACTATATATGAATATGCGTATGTTTCCTCTTGTTTGACTTTTCTACGAAAGCCCAAAGCAAAATACAGCTCAGGTTGTTTGTCATTCTGTTTTGCTTTGCCTCCTCACTTCTTTCGCAGAGAGACATGTTCTCTGAAACAGCTTCTCATGAGAGGTGAAACAGCTTCTCTTGTTCACTTCAGCTGCACCGAGCAAAACAACGGCTTTTTCCGTCGTCATGCGACTCATCATGTGTCCCTATTCCATCATTTTCGAGAACTCAGTCGCACGAGGACAAGCAGAAGATGCATTAAAAGATGTATGATGCCTTTGATAAAAGGATGCAGAAGGTCTTCAAGGAGTTGGAGGCCATCGCTATTCGTGTCCAGCTGCTATTCGTTTCAACCCAAACTGCGACTCAACGACTACTGATACCCTGGCGATCCACCCCCCAGGCGCATCGGCGACCACATCCTTTCGGTCCGGTCCGTCGTCCGGCACGAAAACCCTCCGGCGGCACTGGTCCGGAGGTGAAGCGACCGGACTGGTAGGAGCGGGGGGGTACCTAGGCCTGGGTTCTTCAACCTCGGTCCTCAACCGGGTAGGCCAACCGCCCTAGCACAGCTCCCGCAGCTCCCGACTTCGGCGACAGGTGGCCGAAACACCCGGGGCCGACCGATCCTGACACAGAAAGAAGGGAGGCAGGGCTGCAAGAAGCCACGTGACAACGGTGTCTCCCTGCCTCGCGAAACCATGGCAGGTACTTCTCGCACTTCACGGAAAGACCCAAAGGATCAAAGTTGAAGTCCTCCCCAGGTGCGGCGGAGACACAAACAGCGCCATCGTCATTGCGTGTGTTTTTTCGAGCGAGACATGTCAACCACAAGCGGATTCCTCTCCGCAGTTGTGAGTCTCGGAGGTTCTGAAAGGGGGCTGTTCCACACAGTACACAACACCGTTGATGGAGTTTCCTAAGCTTTGCGACCCTGAAACTCATTGCCAAGAAGAGAAGAAGGTCCCCACCTGTCTATATACCCACTTCAAAACAAACAGCAAACCAAGTACATGTGACTCTTGGGTCAAAATCCAGGGTCAGATACTCTGCTGACCTCGGCCCATAGCCATCTCTGAACCATCAGGATCTACCACCAGTCCTGCCCTCCAACCAGTCCTTACCGGTCCCGACTGTCCTGCCCGGCGAAGGCTGACTCGTTCCCGATGAGGCCACCGGCGAAGGGCTTGGCCTCCGCACGCCGCGCGGTGGAGCTGCGGAGGAGGCCTCGGCCTGGAGCGGCGCGGCGGAGAGGCGCGGTACGGGTGGAGCGGTGGTGGGAGGGGTGAGAAGGTTCGTGTGGAGCCTTGGGGTGAGAAGGTTTGGGGTGGAATTCTGGGGACTGGAAAGGAAGGTTTGAAGCGGAAACAAGACCTTATTTTAGGTTGATTTGGATGAAAAACGGGAGAGTCAAAATCTCCTGGCTGTGGGCTCTTGTGCTCTTTTGATGAAAACATTTTACATTCTTGTGATTTAGATTGGAAAGCTCATATGAGCTCACATGAGTACCATATCAAAAGTGGGGTGCCCAAACCGCGAGCTGCTTGGCCTCCCATGAGTCTCTGAGAGCGTCAACCTCCCAAGTTGGCCACCCGACACTAGGCAACACCAAAGAACAGAATGCATGTCTGACACCAAGTCCCGCACCTGCCACTGCCACAAGAGCCGCGGCCGCGGTGGTGGACACACCCCATGGTGCTGCACCGGTGGGAGCAGCACTGGTGCCGGCCACACCACTGCTGCTGCTGCCCCGGAGCTGTGTCGAGCCGGGAGCCACAAAGCTCTTGGCAGCCAAAAGGGCTGCGGCACCCGCAGCGCCCAACGCAAGCGGCGTGGAGCTCGGAGCCATGGCGCGTCGGTGGATCCGGTGGATTGGGGGGGGCGGGGGCGTCTTAAAAAAGGTGAGCTGCGCACGGAGCCGAACATGCAGCGCACCACCACCAGGTGCGGAGGGCCCTCGGAACTGTTCGGACACCCAGAAGCAGCTGGCTCAGAAGCACTGAGTCCGTCTCTCCTACGTGATCTCCTTTGGCGTTCCCTGTCAAAATGACAAGGGACCTGAATCCGCTGGACACCAACGCCTTCCGCCCAAGCGCGAAACAAGCAGCACGTCCCAAATTCCGACCTCAGCACCCCCCCTCAGCACCCGGACCTCAGTGAGCTGGCTCCGTTGTTTGGGACCCACCACCCAGATGGTCACACTTCCGAGCTCCAAAACGTCCGGTGGAGCTCCGGTGGAGCCGGTCCTCTGGTGCGAAGACACCCACCCGCCGGCTGAGCTCGTTGAAGCGCAGCTTCGCTTGGGAGAGGGGCTGCGAGTGAAAGGCCTGCGAGGGGCTACGAGCGCAGCAACGAGGTGTCCAAAAGCCCAATGGAGACAGAATTGGCCTTTGAATGGTGAAACACCAGGGGTCACATGTTGGGGTGGGTGTTTAGTCCCCATCCAGTGAGTGGATGTGACAAGGGCACCCGAACCTCCATGGAATAGCACCCCTTTGAAACTCCTGGTGGAGCTTTGGAGACAGGCCTGCATTGCAAAGGGAAAGAAAACATGTTGGGATTTTTTGGAGAAGCTTCTTTGGAGGTTGTGAGACAGGATCACCACTTGCTGTCGCCATTTCGTTGCTGACCATGAGTCCGCCCAGGATTCCGTGTGCTGCCGTGCCCACTCCGGGACAGAGATACCCGTGACCACTCTAAAAGGAACCAGGATGAACCAGGGGCCTGAAGAGAAGCAAGTTCACCTCTCCTCTTCACCTCTCCAACGACTCTGTCCAACCAACCGACCGACCTGAAACCGAACACACACCGGCACCTGGTTCCGCAAGCCGTCTCTCAGGCGATCGACCACAATGCGGTAGTAGTTCTCGGGCACGGAGTCCTCGACCACCGTGTTGTCCACTGGGAAAGAGTATCCAAAAGCTGCCAAAATTGGGTGAAAGCCAAGAACAGCCTTTTACAACTGGGACGTGTAGCTGCTTTTTTGCTGTGAAGAGCGATCTGAAAGTTCTACGCATAAACAGGTGAAAGAGCCTTTAAAGATGAGAGAACGGCTGCTTTTGGGGGTGGCCTGTGCCGAAAGCGCCGGCCGGTCGCCTGGATCTGTTCGGCCAAGTCTGGGCAAATGAAGCAGATCCACCTGCTTCTTCAAAGTGACCTGCTTCATCCCCGGGTTTGAGGTCTCTTGGACCTGTAACAGGTCACCTATAGGTAGTTCCAAAAAGGTCACTTTGAAGAAGCTGGCATTTGAGTTTGGGGCTTAGAGATGTTTACGGCCTCGATCTTGGCTCTCCGAGATGGAGATTTGAACAGCAAGATTGGCTGGCTCCGATTGAACAACGAAGTGTGACTGAAGAAGTCAGATTCCAGACATGCTGAGCAACTTGATCGGTCAAACCAGCACCAAAAAGCAGCTTTCAGCTTCAATGCTGTCAGAAGAATCGGAACCCGTGGTGCCGTTCAGCCGAAAAAACCGCCCCAGCTTGAAACCAATCATGGTCAATCCATGCCGAAACGACACGGAAAAAACCCTCCCAAAGAAACACCTGGAAGATGCTGAAACCACTGAAACCACTGTAGTCGTCACCAGAGGCGCCCAGCTTCTGCGGAAAACGACTCCTCCCGTGCTCAAGCGGAGGCTCCAGAGACGATGTCCCGATCTCAACCATCTTCTGCGCCACGGCCTCCGGCAAACCGAAGACCCCAAACATCGCCCTGCTGCTTCAGCTGCCAATGTTCCAGGACGGAAGGTGGAGAACTCAACCACTTTCAGCAGGTTTGAAAGCAATGTGACTGGAGGGGAAACATCGAACTTGGTGTGTGCGGTCCGTGCAAAGAGTTGAGTCGTACTTCTTAACTTCAAACAGTTTCTTGATTCTTGTGTTAGTCTGAAGAAACATTGAGCTGAGTAGAAACTGGAAGGTGTAAACTTAAACAGCTGCAATGAACAAAATGGCATATCCTTCTCTCAGTGATGTCAAGCATGTTCTTTGAGAAGGGCACAATGAGGGCCAACCTCCCCGTCGTGAAAAAACAAATATACCGGCATAGACCCCAGATAGAAGTAATCCGGAACCCATCCATTGAGAAGTAAGAACACCTATAGCTTCCAGCTATCTGGGGAAAAAGTATCGAAAAGAAAACTAAAAACTTGAGCCTTTCAACCTCAGTGTCTAGATTCTGTCCAGAGTCTCTGGGGGCCTCAAGAACGGGGGCTTTACTGGCTGACATGGGATGACCGAGGTCCAGTCCGTCGCTCCACGTGGCTCCACGTCGCTCCACGTCGCTCTGCCTGGATCAAAACGCCCAACTTGTCGTGGAAGCCTCCAGCCCTGAGCTCGCGCCCGAGACACGAGACACGGCAGCGTCCGACCGTTGGGGCGAAAAGAGAACGTTGACTCTGCGCCCGCTCTGCCAGGTGATTCCAAGTGGGTGGAATAGGAAAATCTTCAATCAACCAGGTGATTCATGTTATCTTTTGTTGCTTAAAGGCCGGGTGATTCATACTACCTTTTGAAATTCTCCTGGTTATACACCGGGTGATTCGGATATAACTTCCATCTCAATCTGATTGGGATGGTTTCATTCTTGTGATTTACAGGACCTAGATGTCGGCAAAACTGAGAACTGCTCCAGGTAAAGCGATCCAGTTTGGTCGGCGAGAGTGCAGTTGGCTCCAATTAGCTTGCTTACCAATATCGTTGTTTAGCTTGCTGCTCCCTGAGTAATGTAAGGTAGAATTTTGGTGGAGCATATTCATTTTAATGTGTTGTTTGTCTTGGGTGCTTGATTCTCCAAAACAGGGATCAGTCAGATTTCAGGTGGGTATACCCGGTAGCTCTTGCGCTCCAGTAAATGCTATATATTCTCTGTGAAAATGTATCATCTTACTTTAAGGTGCGCTTAATCTTTCCAGGAAAATACAAACACAGCACTCGAGCATGCACATGCAACTTACATCAACAACGTTTAGCCAGGCTCTAGCTCGCGCGTTTCATTAACGAATAATTCATGCATATGTTGGCTGATGCAAACTCACCGGAGATCTTCACCAGGGTACCAATGTGACATTACCCATACCCTGGACGGAAAACCTCCTTAAAACCTTTCCGCACTCCAAATCTACACCAGCAACGCACCAAAATCCACGCGTCTTGCAGCGAAGAGGAATGTACTGCAACACCCGCTGACCAAACCACCCACTGAGCAAGCGGCATGAAGATGATACTCCCCTCGCCGATGTCCAAGCTGTAAGAGCAGTTGGCAATGTCTGCGTCGTAGGAATATTCACTCAGCGCCTGGCTCTGCCGCTCCAAAAGTGCCACAAGAAGGAAGCACACGATGTATCATTTGCGTATCAGATGTATCATATTGATTAAACATCATGAAAATCACATGCCCAGCACCTCAAACAAAGCTTTTTGATATATCACATGATCTTTTCTCTGTAGACTGTAGACGGCTAGTTATGTTTCAACCGAATGTGAAGAGGGTTTACAACCCCCCTTTCGTTCCATGCCTGTGTAAAAAACCCTAAGATCCATCCGTATACATATGCAGATAATTGGTCCTTTATGTCAGCGTCTGAAAAAGCCACCTTTAAAGCATTGACGCACGTCCTCAATTTTGTTCACTCTTTAAGAATGCAGATTGACTTTGGAAAATCCTGGGGATGGTCCACAAGTAAAGCCTTCCATGAGTTTTGGCACAATGCCTCAGCACTTTTAATGTCGCCGCAGTTCCGCTTTACAGTTAAGAACCACGTCCAGGACTTAGGATGCATGATCTCCTATACGGAAAAAACGACACTAGGACCCCTCCGAGATAAGATAGACAATGCTGTCGCTCGATGCAATCGGATTAAAAAACTTAACCTCAGCCTAGATGAACGGGCCGAGAAACTGCAAGCCGCAGTCTGGCCCGCAACATTCTATGGAACACAGGCAATTACCATTGGAGATAAGCACTATGCAACACTAAGAAGGGCGGCAACCAATGTAATGGTTGGGGATCATAAACATGCGTCAAGCCACATTGCTTTGCAATATTTGTCACCCAAGATTCAGGACCCCTTGCTTTATGTTGTTGTTGACCTTTTGACGACATTGCGTAGACTGTTCGCGTATTACCCGGAACTGGCAAAGCAGATTATCACCACAGCCCTTCAGTTCCAGGGTATAACATACGGCCCGGCTACAGCCCTTGCATCATACCTCAAACGCCTTAACTGGCAAATCACCCCCCCAGGCGATACTCCTCGGACCCGGAGGTCTTAAACTCAGCCTTCAGACCACGTCTTGCAAGCAAATCCGCAAACAAGCGCGTATCGCCTGGGACTGGCATTGCCATGCCGCTGTCTCTCATAGGAAGGGTGCCCCTGCACACCCATTTGATTCGACCACATTGCATTCGATACTCCACCAGTTTACAGATCGGCAAAGACGTATACTCGCCCTCAGTCTCACGGCTGGGTGGCAATCTAATGCTCAGATGGCCCTGTGGAATGCTCAGCAAGACCCCAAGTGCCCCTGGTGTGGGCAAATGGACACCCATACCCATCAACTACTTACATGCCCCATTTTTGCACATGTTCGCACCCAACATAGAGAAGCGGTGGAGTACATCAGCCAACACGAAAACCTTTGCTGGTTCCCACTGCCCTCCCACTCCCCGCAAGTGGAATTGTTGCGTCACTCAATGCACATCCGCACGACCACAGCCACCTCAACAGAGGTTCGAATCAGGAACCCGCATGTGACATTCTATACAGATGGTTCTTGTGACACCCCACCTGACCCATTTACACGCCGTGCCGCATGGGCTATTGTAATAGGACAAGAAGAACAACATTCACTCCGACAGCCTCCCATGCGTTCAATTGACTTGGTCACAGCTGGTCATTGCCTCGGTCCCCAAACCATTAATCGTGCAGAACTCTATGCAATCATGGTTGCAGCTGAGCTAGCAGACAAATCAGACATTATTCGTACTGCAGATTTTGGAACAGACTCGCAGTTTGCCCTATCGATCGTTGAAAAAGTTGTCAATTTCGCCATCGATCGATATCCACACAAACACGACCATTGGGACATCATCCAAAGACTCCAGGCAGTGTGGGATCCAAACCGTTTTCGCGCATTCAAAATTAAATCACACCAAAAAACTGGAAGATGCCACAAATGAAACTGACCTTTGGAATATCCAAGGAAATACTTGCGCAGACCAAGCTGCAGTCCGCATGCGACAGACGGATCTTCCTGAATTTGATGAATTATGTCGCAGTGTTATGGAACACTATCAGGCTCAAAAAGCTTTTCACACAAAGATTTTGCATTATTTTCTAGATATCGCGTATGCCAGATTGTCAACGGTCCCCCATGGGACCCCTGATATAGAAATAAGCTCCACGTCCGCTCATTCAAGAGACACGCCGCAGTTGATGCGTCACATTGCCCTTTTCCGTGCATGGACTGTAGATGGGGAACATTTTGAACAACCTCCTGAACCCCACTGTACTGCCTTTTGGTCGTGCACATGGGGCGCTAACTATGCGCGCCTGGTGTGGGAGTTTTGCACCTTCTTACACTGGCCAAAGCATCAAAAAAACACTACTAAAGACCCTGGTATCACCTGGGTTGAACTAGCAATATCATTTATGTTATGGTCGGGTTGGACACTCCCGGTCAAAATCCCTGTAGATGATATTCAGATTGCATATCCTTTGACACATGAAAAGGTTCAGATGTTGCCTCTTAAAAAACGCTCATTAAGAGTTGTAGCAGACACTTTTCGTCTAATCGTAAAACACATTCAGACCTTTTCACGATCAAAAATCGTGCCGGTGTACAAGAAACAGGGAGCAAGCAGTTTACAAAAACTTGGATTCACTGCCTACCATGAAGGTGGTATTGCATGCCGTCCTCTCTTTCCGAATGCAGGCTTGACAAGTGACTATCTCCATAATCTTGTCCTTAACATAGCGCATGAACCGCCGTTTCATTCCGAAATTCCAGTTCCTCCAATACCTGACTCCATTGCTCCGCGACCATGGCCAAATTGGCCAGAAGTACACCCGTCCAAACGGGATAAGTTTATCCAGCAAATGCGTGTCCATCTCTTTCGCAAAAAGAATCTCGATGAGATCCTCCATCCTGGCCCCAATTAGGTTGTTTCTCAACACCTGTTTGCATTCGAATTCTGATTCGTGCCAATTGCCTTGAACCTGCCTATGGCTAGCTGTTGCATCCCTTGGTTCGTCGTAGAAGCCTCGTTCCCTGTACATACCTGTTTTTACTTCACCGAAGGTTTGAGGTAACCCCGCACGTTTCACAAACACCCACAGCAACCCATCCGAATATCGGAGCAAGGGGGTTAGTGGGCACGCGTCGACTCGGGACCGCAAGTTCGCGCATCCAAAGGGGGGGATCAATCAAGAGTCAGAATACAGTCAGAATCTACATTACTGTGGTCCATGTGGCCTGTGTTCTCAAGTGTTCTCAAATGGGGGGTTTCTCGATTGGAAGCTCCGCCGTTACGAGGTGTCCCAGGAGAGTCGCATCCAAGCAGGACCTCGCCTCTTGCACAATATGTGTGTAGACTGTGGCACGCAAGGCGTTCATGGCAGTGCTCGGCATCAGCGATGAACGGATGACGCAAAGGAAGAGGGCCTGGCGCACGCGCAAGGCCGTCGGCCCCCAGCGGGGATAGGCCGAAAGGTGGTGTGAAGCACGGCTGAAACGAACGAAACTCCATTTCTGCTTGGTCGCATTGAAAGATTCCCTTCTCCAAATCTTCCAATGATCTATCGGACAAAATCGATGGATCATGCTGTTCTTCGTCCTCCTCCCCACATCACCAGCCCGACGCTCCGGTGACGCCACCGGCGGCTGGCCTTGGGCTGTAAGAACCTTGTCAGGTCGGAGAGACGACCCAAAGCCCAACCAAGCCCAAGCCGTGGCAACCACCAGGGCTGGTGGTGAAAAAGGACCGGCTTGAATCTGGCGGAGCCAAGAAGCTGCTTGAAGCTTCAGTATTTCTTCCTGCCACCCCAAACGTGGGGATGTCGATTGAACACCAATGAAGTACCAGGACCAACCGGTTGGAGGTGACTGTATCCGAATCCATCCAAATCACCTCTCTCTCAGGGGCGACCACAAATCGACACCCGACACTCATCCACACCGACACCACTAAGTGCTGTGCGAAATGGAACCGATGAGTTCCAGTCTCGGGGGGTTGGCACATTCTCGGTGGGGAGCGAAGACAAGAGGCACAGGAGTCAGATTCTGCCACTCGCCTTTGGTAGACTCAGATTCTGCCACTCGTGCTGATGACAGGAGTCAGACTGAGAGAAGAGTTTTCGGGAGCTTGCCCCTCCCCGAAAATTCACAACGAAAGAAGGATCAAAGGTCTACGCAACAATCAAGTTCGAAACGTGCCTAGCCCTGTGCCGAGCCTATGTGCCCTCAACGTTGATCGACTGGCGGCACACGACGCACGCGTAGACCATGTCTCATTCACCACTCCAGACCACGGTCACCAGCCATTTGGTGCCCAGAAACACGTCGTCTTGCCGATGGAAGAGGTACCGGGTGACCTCCCCCCCCTGCAGTCGCCGCGGCAACACAGGGTTCGGCGTGGCCAGTGCCTTGCACCCGAGCGGCGAAACAGGTGATGCACAGAGGTTGGTCAATGAAGATTCTGTGACGGAAGATGAAGTCAACTAGACGACGAGTGGCCCGAAAGCATTTTTCATCACGTAGGAAGTCAGAGTGCGAGTTATCTGTTAAGTGTGTTATAAGTGTTCAGTGTGAAGTGTTAAGTCGAGTGTGTTGAGGCAGTGTGTGGGTCTCTGTGTGTGTGTGTATCTATGTCTGTGTGTGTATGTGTCTCTCTCTGTATGTCTTTCTGAAGCGCAGGAACACCTGTTTTCTGCAAGTTCTTCACCTCTCGAAAGTCACCTCCGCGTAGTAAAGTTGTACTACAAAGTCGCCAGTTCTCATCTTCCAGCTCCACAGATTGCTCCGTGTACTAAAGTTCTACTGCCAAGTCGCCAGTTCTCATCTTCCAGCTCCCCAGATACTCCGCGTACTCAAGTTGTACTACCAAGTCGCTTGTTCTCATCTTCCAGCTCCCCGGATACTCCGCGTACTAATGTTGTACTACCAAGTCACCAGTTCTCATCTTCCCACTCCCCAGATACTCCGCGTACTAAAGTTGTACTACCAAGTCGCCAGTTCTCATCTTCCAGCTCCCCAGCTACTCCGCGTACTACAGTTGTACTACAAAGTCGCCAGTGCTCATCTTCCAGCTCCCGAGATACTCCGCGGACTCAAGTTGCACTACCAAGTCGCCAGTTCTCATCTTCTCACCGCCCAGCTACTCCGCCGCGTACTAAAGTTGTACTACCAAGTCGCCAGTTCTCATCTTCCAGCTCCCCAGCTACTCCGCGTACTAAAGTTGTACTACAAAGTCGCCAGTTCTCAGTTCTCAGCTTCCAGCTCCACAGATTGCTCCGCGTACTAAAGTTGCACTACCAAGTCACCAGTTCTCAGCTTCCAGCTCCACAGCTACTCCGCGTACTAAAGTTGTACTACAAAGTCGCCAGTTCTCAGCTTCCAGCTCCACAGATTGCTCCGCGTACTAAAGTTGTACTAGAAAGTCGCCAGTTCTCAGCTTCCAGCTCCCCGGCTACTCCGCATACTAAAGTTGTACTACAAAGTCGCCAGTTCTCAGCTCCCAGCTCCACAGATTTCTCCGCATACTAAAGTTGTACTAGAAAGTCGCCAGTTCTCAGCTTCCAGCTCCCCAGCTACTCCGCGTACTAAAGTTGTACTACAAAGTCGCCAGTGCTCATCTTTCGGCTCTCGAGATGCTCTGCGTACTAAAGTTGTACTACAAAGTCGCCAGTTCTCAGCTCCCAGCTCCACAGATTGCTCCGCGTACTAAAGTTGTACTAGAAAGTCGCCAGTTCTCAGCTTCCAGCTCCCCAGCTACTCTGCGTACTAAAGTTGTACTACAAAGTCGCCAGTTCTCAGCTTCCAGCTCCACAGATTGCTTTCGCGCGCTCGACACGCACGATCTCCGCAGAGGGTTGCGCGCACAGCCGGCAAATCGCACTCTCGCCTGTATTTCGCGCGCTCGACACGCACGATCTCCGCAGAGGGTTGCGCGCGCAGCCGGCAAATCGCACTCTCGCCTGCATTTCGCGCACTCGACGCGCACGATCTCCGCAGAGGGTTGCGCGCGGACCGGACAAATCGCACTCTCGCCTGCATTTCGCGCACTCGACACGCACGGTCTCCGCAGAGGCTTGCGCGGGCAGCCGGCAAATCGCACTCTCGCGTGCATTTCGCGCACTCGACACGCACGATCTCCGCAGAGGGTTGCGCGCGCAGCCGGCAAATCGCACTCTCGCCTGCATTTCGCGCACTCGACACGCACG